GCAAGTTTTGTATATAGGAAGACTTCCGCGCCAAAAGTTGTGAGCAATGTACTGTACAAGGTTAACAAGTTTTTATCTGGAGTCCGTAGGTCAGAGTGAAGCTGAAAGGTTCTAGCCAGTGGTGACTCACAAAACTGAGTTAGTCTTATGAGTTAGTGAGCTGTGAGTTAGTGCGCAAGTAGCGAGGAAACGGTTGTGAGTTACATCCTCATCAACAAACAGGTGATGCCATGCCTTCAGCTCTGATTGTGCAACCATTTTGGTCCGGTTGAACCAGTCTCTTGACTTGGCAGCCGCTGTCTAAGTGTCATTGATGTTAGCAGCTTTTATTAAACAGTAATAAGCTTCTGTTTGAGTGAAGGAAACGTAATTGTGATTTTGTGTGTGTATAATTCTTACGTTATGCATCACTTGTATTTATTAAATTATAGTTAATGCGAGCATTTTTGTACCCGGTATTGTCCTTAACCCTTAAACTGTCCAAACAGATCGACGTTCAAACCCGTAGTGCTCCAAAAGTAGATCTACGTTTTTTTTACATATTTTCAAATAGTATAACAAAAAAAATGTAGATAAAAGTTTTTTACACGTTTTCAAATGTAAAAAAAAAAAAAAAAAAAAAAAAAAAAAAATTACATTTTTTACATACTTTCAAATGTTAAAAAAACGTAGATCTACGTTTGGACAGTTTAAGGGTTAACCAAAGATGCCCAGTTCAAGAAAGACACACTGAACTGAGTTTTATTTCTTCTAAATACACGAAGTTTACTGAAGAGATGTTTCTTCTCCCAGTGACTGCACGAGTTATACTGTGTTGTCATTAGTGTTGGTTTAGTGACCTATTGCCACTTGGACGTTTGCTGGATCGTCAGTGTTTCTCTTGTTTCTCTCCAGATTTTAAATACTTATATTTTTATGTGTTTGCATGTTTCCTAGTTTTTCAAGAGGTAATGCTTTCATTAACTCTTGAAAAGGTCCCACCTTCCAAAATGCTTTTAGTTAAAGCAGGGAATTTTCAAGGCTGCAAGTTTGTATTTGAAGATGGTTCTCTCACTGTGATTGAAACAGTGGAGTAGAAAATGGTGTATTGTTTTTGAAGTGTGGCAGTGAATGCAATTTTCATATATTTGTTCTGTAGCTTTGAGCTGGTAGCTTAGTGTGTCGTTAACCTGGCCATTATCGTGTCTGTTACTTTTAATTTTGTCTTGTGCATTTCTACACTTCCAGCTCGTATTTTTTAATAGCTCTGTAATATGTTGACGAATAGGACATTTTTATTTTTTTTCAGCGAAATTTTTTGTATAGTAATAGCACAGTGAGTCATACTGTCAAGTTTGTAGACCAACACAAGTTCTAAGGATTAACATCTGTTCTCATTGAAATCATTTTGCTTGTAGGTAGGATTGCGGGAATATTTTACAATATAAATCAATGTATGTGTGTATGCGAAATAATGTCTAACCGCCAACTTGGGGCAGATTTAAAAAAAAAAAAAACTGGATATAGTGTTGGGAAGTTCCCCGAGCCGAGGACTCGCTCAGCCAGTTTAGAGTTCAGTAGTGTTACCTGCACCATTGCGTCGTGAGTCGCCGCTTGTGCTCAAACTTCGGTACGTGCCTAGTGCTGTTTGCGTACATTATAAATGGTAAATTGTACGTGAACAAATGACAGGTAATCGGAGTTCCCTATTTTATTTCACCTCTTGCCCTCATCGTTAACCCTTTCACCCCTTTTTTTTGCGGTGGAAAACTAGTCCGAAGCTCTGAATAAGCAATATGTCATTATTGAAAGGAGTGCGTTGAAAAGGAAAAGTAGTTCCTGTTATGGAAGAGTGATTAGAGAAGCAGAATGGTCCAAACTCTTTACTGGCTGAAGATTTCTATGGCCAACCCATCTACGTACCGTTCGTGTTGTTCTTAACTTTTAAACGACAGTATATCGTTTCGGTGAGATAGCATCCTCCCCAGTTATGCATTTCATATCATGCTTGCTATATTGGGATGAAAGTAGTATACATTTTGTTTTTTCTACATTGGACTAACCAGAGGCCGGAATTGTTTCTCTGCCTGTATTATTAATAACACTTGTGGTGCTGTCCGCTAGCTGATAGAGTATTGGGAATTGTCCGCTCCTAGTTAGATGCACTCAGTTATTCATTACTATTCTATTCTTGCATTTGCGCTGAGTTGACTGTCAAACATGGAGTGATATACCTCAGTCCTTCAGATTAGCTTTCAAGAAGTAACACAAGAACTTTTGGTAAAGATCAAAAGGTTGATGTGGGCGTATTAGCATTTTTATCATTGACTATGAGAGTTGAATAGCAGTGTTTTTTAATACCATCAGAATGTTTATACTCTGAATTTTAACACCATCATAATTGTCCAAGACCATTTCTTGTAAACATGAGATTTATTATAAATGAACCTAATTTGTGTACACTTAATCGCTGGCACGTCCACGTCACCTGGTGAAGATCTCGATGAATACATGAAGCTTAACTGCTTATGTTTACAGTTTGAGATATTGACATCCTGTGAGAAGGCGATGACCCAAGAAAGGGGTTCACACCATCTGAGGAGCAGTTATCTTAAAAAGGTGTTGACATCTAAGTGTTTACACTTCTTTGCTGACACCCTCTGATGAGAGATTTTCTCTGTAGAAGAAATAACATGTGACCGTTGTTTAGGTAAATTTTAATAGTGGAAGCAAATTTTAAACGACATTTTAGATAAAATAGAGAAGCGATCTTTTCCGGGCAGTCTCACTCTTGTCACATCTTTGTAAACCACATTCTACAGCTTGAGTGATAAGATAAGATAAGATTTCGTTCGGATTTTTAACCCCGGAGAGTTAGCCACCCAGGATAAGCCAAGAAAGTCAGTGCGTCATCGAGGACTGTCTAACTTATTTCCATTGGGGTCCTTAATCTTGTCCCCCAGGATGCGACCCACACCAGTCGACTAACACCCAGGTACCTATTTGCTGCTAGGTGAACAGGACAACAGGTGCAAGGAAACGTGTCGAAATGTTTCCACCCGCCGGGAATCGAACCCGGGCCCTCCGTGTGTGAAGTGGGAGCTTTAGCCACCGGGCCAGCGTCCTCACTTCACACCCTTACGGCCTGCATAACAATTAATGATGGATGTGTGAATGGCATGTTCTACAATAGTTTGATACCAAAGTGATAAATCGGACATTAGACTATATAATGTAAATGGTACAAGGTGCGCAAGAACTGCCCCTAAGCAAACATTGTTTTGGGTCCTTCTTCCCCCCCCCCCCACACACACACACTGAAAGCGTGGTTGATAGCGTCCTAAGCTCACACACTGAGAGTTCGGAATCGATCCACGACACGGTCGAAACGTTGGACATATTTCCTTACATCTGCTGCCCCTGTTCACTTAACAGAAAATAGGTACCTGGGTGTTAGCTGACTGTTGTGGGCCGCATCCTGGGGGGTATGTCAATGATGTCAGCTAGATCTGTATTGGTTGTAGAAATAGATTATTATAGTTATAATGTGTCATATGTTAAAATTTTGTGCATATCGACTAGAGAATTCGTATACACATGTAGGTGTATATACCTATGGTCAAGTTATTTGGTAGGCGATATTTATGAGGAGGAGAGCGGGGAGTTGAGATCTGGTTGGGAATGAATGGTATCCTTTAATGTGTTGCTGCCTGGTATTATGTAATGCTGTTTTTTTTTTTTAATGGCACGCCTGTCAGCCTCCCAAGCAAATCCCTCCCTGTTCCACCCCAGCCTTCCCTTCCTGCTCTACCTCAGCCTCCCCACTCCTGCTCCACCAAAGCCTCCCCTTCCTCTTCACTACCCGTTTCCTCATTCCCTGCTTCGCCCCAGCCTGCGAACTTTAAGGTGATGAAAAAGGCAAAGGCGAAGACAAAAGCTGTTGTACAAAATATACTCTACAGCAGGCTTTTTGTTTATTAGTTTCTGGGCCGAACACTAGTTTATTTAATGCGTAAGAAGCAATCCCGATGGGTCCTGCAGACAAGCAGCAGCTGTACAGGGCCGTATAGAGGTGGATATAGGGTCATCTTTCCAAAGGAATAATCGGAGATGATTTTCTGTAGACTGAACATTGGGAAGCACCACTCTTACCTCTACACCTGCTTTCAGGAAATCCTGCGCTTCTCTGTAACTTGTGCTCTGTCACTAACCAAACCTTATGAAAGCAAAAGACTCGGTAGCAGATGCAACATTCCCCCGATGAAAAGCAGGGGCGCCACGAGTACATTGAGAGACAACACAAGTGTCCGGGGCCCAAGACTGCTCTACTGCCTCACAGCATACATAAGGGGAATTACTAATAGACCCCTGGCAGTCATTAAGAAGGCACTGGACAGGCACCTAAAATCAGTACCTGACCAACCAGGCTGTGGTTCGTACGTCAGCTTGCGTGCGGCCAGCAGTAACAGCCTGGTTAATCAGACTGATCTACCATGAGGCCTGGTCTCAGACCGAGCCGAAACCCTCTCCAGGTAAACCACATTTTAATATGACCTATGCTCTGGCCTTACCGGTTTGGGAATGAGTTTTATATTCACTGGGGTGACATTTTAGGGAAACTTGTAATTGTAATAGACATACTGGGTTATTAATGAATAGTCCACCTCTCTAGAGAAGTTTCTTGACGCCAGTGAGGGTATACAGGAACGACTGGCAGGTCCAATTTCACTTGCCCTCCCTTTCCTTAGAATGTCCCCCATTCCCTAACCAGTGGTTCGCAACCTCTTTGACCCATTCACCCTTTTCACCATATATCAGAATGTCATTCCCCCCTTCCCAAGATTGTCTAACTCGAAAGATGTATTCCAAATAATATGAATATAATATTGAAAATCTTTTATTTTTTCTATTTTAGTATAAAATTTACCTGGCATATTCTTATAATGGAGCTTTATAAATTTAATAGCAATTGAAAATGTTGATTAATTTTAAAACTTTAATAAGTGTTTTTTCTTCGCCAGTTCAATGATGAGAAATTTCAATTACTCCGATATGGTAAACATGAGGAAATTAAAACTTCATAAGAGTACAAAACAAATTCCTTCCACAAAATAGAGCAAAAAACCAACGTCAAAGACCTGGGAGTGATCATGTCGGAGGATCTCGCCTTCAAGGACCATAACATTGTATCAATCGCATCTGCTAGAAAAATGACAGGATGGATAATGAGAACCTTCAAAACTAGGGATGCCCTGCCCATGATGACACTCTTCAGGTCACTTGTTCTATCTAGGCTGGAATATTGCTGCACACTAACAGCATCTTTCAAGGCAGGTGAAATTGCTGACCTAGAAAATGTACAGAGAACCTTCACGGCGCGCATAACGGAGATAAAACACCTCAATTACTGGGAGCGCTTGAAGTTCCTGAACCTGTATTCCCTTGAACGCAGGCGGGAGAGATACATGATTATATACACCTGGAAAATCCTAGAGGGACTAGTACCGAACTTGTACACGAAAATCACTCCCTACGAAAGCAAAAGACTCTGAAGACGATGCAACATCCCCCCAATGAAAAGCAGGGTGAAAAGCAGGGGTGTCACTAGCACGTTAAGAGACAATACAATAAGTGTCAGGGGCCCGAGACTGTTCAACTGCCTCCCAGCATACATAAGGGGGATTACCAATAGACACCTGGCTGTCTTCAAGCTGGCACTGGACAAGCACCTAAAGTCGGTACCTGACCAGCCGGGCTGTGGCTCGTACGTTGGATTGCGTTCAGCCAGCAGTAACAGCCTGGTTGATCAGGCTCTGATCCATCAGGAGGCCTGGTCACAGACCGGGCTGCGGGGGCGTTGACTCCCGGAACTCCCTCCAGGTAAACTCCAGGTATGCTGAGAAGTGCTTGAAAGAACACAATGCATGTCATTTTCAACCTCCAATCTACTTCGTTCCTTCATTTTCATTTGCAACAGAATCAAAAACCCTGATTCACAAAGATATGTGGACACAAATGGAAGTGCATGGATAGCTCTTTCTGCCACTTTGAAATAGGAATGGCACATCAAGGGTCAAAATTTTGTGGCTGATTTTTCATCGAACATGTCTCTTGCTCCCTAATCAGTCTTCAGCTCCAGAAATTCATCCTGACAATCATCAGGAACATTTTTCAACTGACAATTTAAATGGATTTCGCAATAAATCCAACTCCTCATCACTTGAGTTCAGGAAAATAGAGGCTGAATTAATTTTCCATTGTTGTCATATGCTGCGAAATTTCATTTCAGTGTTTGAGAAACCGTCATCAATTCTGGTTTCCAAACCAGAATTTATGACGGTTTCTCAAACATTTTATATATATATATATATATATCATTTTAATATATGTTTATATATTTGTATATATATTTATGCTTTGGGATATGTTTGTTTTGATGTTATGCTTTTGAGCACTTGCAAAACTGATAGTGTGGGTGTGGTGAAGGTGTTGAATGATGAGGGGAATGTTTTCTTTTTTGGGGTTTTTTCT